AACCTCCACTATTCAGACATGTTCACTTGGAAAGACACAGGCTTTGGTATCGAAGATCAATCTTAATCCTGATGATGTCACTCACAAGCTGTATGTTTTGGGGCAAATTACAAAACCTTTCTGAACCTCAGTTTTGACATCTGAAAATGGAGATGATGGCAGAATCTTTTCTGCAGAGTACTAGGGGACCTGCTTTAGCTCGGGGACATCATTTGTGAAGCATGAAAGGCTTCATAAGTGGGTTTCCTTTGCCTCTTCATAAAGAATAACGATCTCATCAATTGTCTCAGGCAAGGCAGCCTCCTCAATCAGAAAAAAAAAATCCAAAAAAAAAGAAAGAAAGAAATCCATGAGAATGCTAACCTTAATTCATACATCCAGGCTTTCTGTCCTTAATATCCAACTGGTTAAAGAAAACTTTGAAATGCCAGGGGCAAAAAGATGCTCACAGGAAAGGAGAGACTGTGATTGCCACCTCACTACAAAGAAGAAAAGCACAACTCATTTTCAACGAGTTGAAGGAAATAAGATAACTGTGAAATGAATGCAAAATTAACCGGAACACTGTCCAGATGAAGGAAGAAGAAAGCAAACATCCTTCGGAGGGGTGCTCTGTGAGAGATGTGACTTGTGTTGTTTTCTAAAACTTATAATCACCTCCTGAAACCTATTTCCTACAATTCTTCCCAGAGACCGCCTTCTCTCTTTAGATATTGTTTTGTGTGGCTAGCATTATGTTTTTGAAACACTGTCGGTTGCTGCGGTAACTTGATTGTGTGTGATAAAAAGAGCCCAGATCAACTTGATGGTTGATACACAGTGGTGACTTCCAGCGGATTTTAGAAACTTCTTGTGTGATCCTCAGGCTGTGCTAACCACCAGTGGGCAGTGGTTTGTTTTTTTTTCCCTGACAGCATTGTTCTATGGGATTGCTGAGGACTGATTGGGTCACCAGAGCTTCTCATGCCAGTGTCCTGAAAGATTAAGAAAGAAGTAGAAAAGGTGGAGTCACCATCAGACTAGCAACACTGATAACCATCACCCCAAATTTATTTTTTATGATTTTTTTAAATTTTATTTAAGGAGAAAAGAAAAAAAAAAGCAGAGAAAGGGTATAAGTTATACAGATTTACAGAAAAAAAATGAACAGTAGGAAATCACTAGTTAATGGATTACATATTGTCATCTTAGAAATAATTGTTCAAGTCACAAAATTAAAGCTTGTAAAGTGGACATTCCATCAATGATACTGCAAAGAGTTCTGTTCAATGATCCAATAAAACTCTGTGATATCATTTTCTATCTTATACACTTAAATATACATGCAGTTATATAGTTTAGAGCACTTTCTTTTCCTCTCTTTTGTACCATGACTATTACACATTTTGGGTTTCATTGCTCCCACGGTTCTTATTACTTTTTTGGAAGAGAGTAAAACCAAATGTGACATAACAGAACAGAATCGGTCAAGTCAAAAGGGCATCACCCCAAATTTAGCTCTGGTAAAATGGGAAGAAAATAATTTCCTGACAGCAGCCTGGACTGACAGCCGTGATGCTCTGGAAGCCACTGAAGAGAACATTTCTGGGCAGAAAGTGCTTGGTGTCACCCACAACACAGCACTGAGTGGAAGCCAGACATGTGCCTTCTCAGCCTGTTCCAACTCTGCCCTGCTCTGTGACCCTGGATAACATTCCTAGAATCTCTGATACTTTTTCTGCTCTAAAATGTGAAGACTTACACTGGGCACCGAGGCACTGCAATTTTTCCAAGCCCTTCTGATGATGACTGTGCATAGTACCTGTAAGGACATCTCTGATACCATGTATTACAGCAGCTCAGATTGGCACGGATGGTCTGAACAGCAGACTCCTCATCGTATGTTACAGCATGGTGCATTGGCTTCTGTAGAAATGCTTAGAGTAAACAGCCACCCCCCACGCATGACCCAGTAACTCTCAGCATCAGAGCCTCCATCCCAGCATGCCCAGGAGTGGACACTGGAGACCACTGGTCACAGCTGGAACAGGAGCGATGGACACAAACTGTCCTTTTCCAGGGATCTAACGAAGAGCCGCCATCACACTTTTTGCTCTTATTGTGTTAGAAGCATAAACTTTCCTACTGACATGGTTGACAACACTAAATACTGACCACATAAGGTTTTGTTTTGTGTTTTTTCCCCCTTAGGGACTTTTTGGCTGAATCTGGGAACCCTACCAGTCAACTTCTATTTCAGCATATAACTAATGAAATATAAAAGAGGAAAGGAAGAAACTTACCTCCCTCTCCATCAATAACGTACATCATACTTCTGGACCTCACAGAGGAAAATTGACCTGAAATATAAAAAAATAAATAAATAAATAAAAGTAAGCACAGTAAAAGAAGGTCCCTAAGGAGACAAAGTCATGACTCTAACCAAGTGTGAAGGAGAAGAATGGAAGTAGAAAGAATAACTTTCCAGAGCAAGTCATTTTTCTGGTCCATTAAGACCTCATGAAATAATTTAAATTTAGAAATTCTTAAACATGATTAGCTTTCCTCCAATTAAAAAGAGATATCAGTAATTTGCAAGTTTGGTTTCCACTGAGTTAAACTGCATAAGAATCAGCAGTGGATATAGAAAAAGGCTTAACTTGGGTATGAAAATATGCTCAGCTTTAGCAACAACCCACAGTTCAACAGAGGTGAAAGAGAGTGAATAAAAATGAGACCACACACACACATGCACACACACATCACAAGATTGGAAGTATTTCAAGAAACAAGTAGAATGTGGGGAGTAAGTTTGCCAGCTGGAGCTCACATTCCTGGTTTAAGGTAAATTGATCTACACAGAGTCCTGCTGTTCAAGCGGGAAAGATACTAGACTGAAGCAACCTAAGAAAACACAGGCCCCACGGAGAAGTTGACCTTCCATGGACCCAGGTGTCCTGGCTTCTCAACTCTTCAATCCATCTGTCTGAGCACCTACTTCTGCCTAAAGTTACGAAGACCCCTGTCTTGGAGGTGTTCCCAGTCATATGAGGCAGAAAAGAAAGTACAGTTGCAATCACTAGAGATGAAACCAAGGACAGCTGTGAAATTGAAGAGACATCCCCGTGGGCTTAAAATGTCAGTGAGGCTGATGGAGGAAACAAAACTTGAGATCAGTCTTGATGGGTGTGAGGATGGTGGAAAAAGACATTGGGAGGTGAAAGAATAGGGAACTAAGAAGTGGCAGAAATGAGGGTACCATGTCGGAAGCAGAGGGGTGAGTAGAGTCACATTCTGGGGTACATTACAGAAGTAGACCTATGGGCCTGTAGCTCTGTCTTGCTCCACAGCCTTCCATATTCATGCCTGGGAAAGTTGGTTCAAGGGAGAAGGCCCGATTCCCCTGAATGGCAGATCAAGTCCTGTTTAGATGTGCGGAGTGTGTGGGCTTCACTTGGACCGTGTTCCTAGAGCTGGAAATGGTAATGAAGTTTGAAATGCTGTGAGAGAGCCGGTCCTCTAACTTGGAGGAATGCACGGAGGGATTGCAGACAAAGGCTCTGCCCTCATGAACACAATGGGGATTAGGAGAAGCTTTCCTTTGGTGCCCACCCTCAGTCGTGTTGTTACCTTTCAATGAAACACTAGTCAGGGTCTTTTTTGTTCAGTTCTCTACTATAGGGGAAATTTCTTTGTGTTAAGAAGTATTTTATTTTTTCCAAAGAGGGAAACACTTACCCCAAGTAAAAAATGGTAGAATTTCAGGTGATAGTAGAGGAGATATTATACTTAGGTAAAGTAGTCCATTATCTAATAGCCTGAAAGGCACTTGTGAGGTCTCTTGTAAGACCTTCTCTGTCATTTAGATCCACCAATGACTATGGAACAGAATGACCTCCCTAAAGACATCTAGAGTATTAGAAGTGATACCATGCTGTTCAATGAACCTCCTACATTGTACATTTCAAACAGCTGCCAACTAAGTGCAGAGAGAAAGAGGCATTGTCTTCCACAAAGTAGGGGCCCTTCTGAAGTAATAACAATAGCTCTGCTTTGAAAAATCCACTCATTTTAAAGAAAACTTTATGAAACATTTACAATTGTACTGTCACATTTATTAGGACTTACTGGGAAAAAGAAGTAGGGAAGAAGGAAAGAAAGAAAGAAAGAAAGAAAGAAGCAAAAGTGACCCAAAACAAGAAATGGAGAGAAGAAAGAGAAAAAAAGAGAGAAATAGAGAAACACAAAGACTGAAATGGAGATAAATTTTCTAAGCAGCAATTCTCAAAATCTGATGGGTAATGAGAAACAACCGAGAATTTCTCAGAAGTGCAAAGCTCTGAACACTCCAAAAAGAAGACTGTGAATCAGTGTATATAGGAATAACTGAATCCACGTTTTTATTGAAGAACACAGTGTACTCAGTTACAAGTCCCTGACTACACTGTGGTTCATTGAATAAGATAACAACACAATGTGGTAGTCAAGTATAAGAAATTTTATGTAGCTGTGGTCACACATTGGTTAACCAAAAATCAGAGAGACCTCAGTGGGCCAGGCCTAGGCAATATAGAAAAGTATGTGCAATATAGTCTGTTTGTAAATCCCAGAACAAAGCTCCATTTACCCTGAAGACAAATCAAGTTGACTGCAAAGGGCATCACTGACAACACTGGTGTTGCCATGGCAACTAATCAGTGTCTGCCGAGCTGAGAGAGCTATAGGTAAGAAAGGCAAGGCGAAGGACGTGGGTTGAAGAGTGAACCATGCGATTTGTAAAGGACTGCTGTGCCTATGCTAACCCACATTGTATCTCAAACAGAGGAAATCAAAAAATAAGATGAATTCCCTCCAAGAAGGGCCTGAATAATGGGCTGGCCCTGAAGCACCATCCACATCTCGGGTCCCTCCAGTTTGCTTGTAGAATTTCTAATACGGAGACTCCACTAACTGCTAAAGAAAGCCATCAAACCCGAACCCAAACACTAAAATTCAAGCACAATAAAGACAGTGCCAGAAAGCAACTTCCAAAGACATTTATTTAATTTCAAATATTATACATTTGTTTTCATTTTCATAGAAAATATTGAGTTAAAAAAAAAACACCACCAACAGTGTTCATTTTCAGAAAAACCTGTGTGCCCCATGCTGGCTCTTGCTGTGGTCCTCCACCTGTGGCACTGGCCACGTGGGTAGGAATTCAGCTGATGGGGCTGGAGTTTCCGGGACGGGTCCCTGTGAGTGTCCTGAAGGGGGTCACTGTCTTGACAACAGTGTTCCATCAAGTTAACACAGGTACCCCAGCTTCACCGTGTCACCGATAGGAGCTTCTGTAGGTCCAAAGCTCATGCCAACACCAATTCAGTACAACTGAGTACTGCAACAACTGCACCCCATTTCCAGACCAGCCAGGAGGGGACCCCGCCTTCTCCCTGACATCTTAGTGTCCTGAGCTCATCTGCTGAACTTCCCCAGAAGCCCCAGTGGGAAGACACTGCCGCATAGTGTTTATATTCAAATCCTCAGCAAACACACTCAAGCACATGTGATCCCCATACACAATACTAATAAAAATGCATATTGGTACAATACAACCTTTGGAATCACTGACTAAAACATAGCCATGTGAATACTTTTTAGACCCTCATATAATTATACATATGGTATGAAAAATAAAAATGTAAAAAAAAGAAGTGTAAAAATCAACTCAGCTATAAACATCTCACAGGTGAATAGATGACGTGTACAACAGTTCCCTCCCTGCTCCCTTCCTTCCCTCTCTGGGGACCGTGTCATTCCCAGGCTCATCTCCCTGGCCTTGCCTCCTAATGCTGCCTCCTCCAACTCTTCCCTTTAAATGCTTTTACTAAAATTGGATTTGATGTGACAGAAACACTCTCGCTCTGCTTTCCTGCTCCTCTGCTGTACATTGTAGCATGTTCAATTTGAGTTCTGCATCCAGCTTTATATTAAAGAGAGATGAATTCCCCCCAAAATACACAAACAAACAAAATAGCTGGAGAGGAAAAAGAGTTAGAATTGCTTCGGCTCTTAGAAATCAAAGTATGTTCTTTCTTCTCCACAATGATCTCTCAATTGATAGGAATGAAATAAGGCTGGAATTGCTTCTCACATTCTGGCTCTGTGGGGGGCATTTTCACATAGACCCCTGTGGTAAGAGGGCTTCTCTTCTTTAGCTGCCAAAAAAAAAACAGTAATTACTATCAAAGAATAAAAAGCTGCATCTATCCATAATTGGACAACAAATATTGGATCCCTACTCCACGGAAAATACATGTTCACAACATACAGAATTAAGAACTCCAGGACATATTTTCTTGATTCTACCCTTATAACTCATTTTAGATGAATAATGCAGTGATTTGGATGTAAAATAGTAACCATTTTCCATGACAAGAAGATAGAAGAAAGAGACTTTGAGAAAACAGAACACCCAGAATGCCACCAAAATTGACCAGACCTCATCTGTGGAGGAACAAACTTGATAGGGAATCAATGTTAGTGATCTGCTCTGAGAGCTGGATTTCTCGTCTCCATTCTTAACTACCAGCCTATACCTCAGGAAACTGTGTGTAGCCGTCAACAGCAAATGAGGTAGGAGGAACACACAGCCATACAACATCACCATCACCGTGTGTGTGTGTGTGTGTGTGTGTGTGTGTGTGTGTGTGTGTGTCCCATACAGAAAAAAGAGAGAGAAGGAAAAGAGAGGAAGAGGGAGAAAAGGAGAGACAGGGAGAGGGAGAAAGAGAAGAGGGAACATGGGAAAGGAGAGGGAAGAGGGAGGAGGACTGTTTGTGATGTGGGCACAAGGTGCTCACGGGAAGTGTTACAAGGCCTGATTCCACACCTCTTTCCCTGTCACCACCAGGAAGTGAAAATGGGGCTTTCTTTCCTGGCCGGAAGACAGCCCAAGATGCCACCATCAAGGAGACTGAGTAACAGGGACAGGGACCCCTTGGGCAGCTACGGCTTAGACGAGGAAGGCTCAGGCCCTTGAAGTAGGGGACACTAAGGAGGAGAACAGAAGTCCACCCCGACAGTCCTTCCCAGCAGCATGCTGCCCAGCCTCATCTTGTATCTGATGATCAAACTGAATACAGTTGTCATGAAGGCACAGAACGAAACAGCTGCCCCACATTGTTCGAACAGTTACTCAAACCGAAACCTTGCTCAGAAGCACACAAACATTCGGTGTCAAACATGCTCATGCCCATATTAGTCATCCCGAAACCCTGAAGGCCAGTGCTCAGGGCTCCGAGGTTCTTTGCCACTGTCCCTCTTCCTCTTCATCCACTGCCTCACCCCCCAACATGAACCCTGATGCCGTGATTTGGACACTGGGTCCGAAGGACCAGACCCATCCTTACCAAACAGGGCGCTGTGGGCAGCACACTCACCATTTTGCTCAAAGACACAGCTGTGATGAGGAAACTGTAAAAAAACAGCCCCGAACTGACTGCTGCAAGGACCCAAAGGAGGAAGTCAGAATCTGGGCACGGTTCTGGATCTGCAAAGGAAACACAGCAGAGCTTCCCAGCAACCAGTTTCCACACCGGGCCACGTCCCTGACTGGGGAGCAGATAGGGCAGGGCGCCTAGCCTGTGCAACCCAGCTGGAAGTCGCCTGGGTCACCCAGGAGAAATCTGCCTGTTTGAGATAACGCCCCCAGCGTATTAAGGCAAACTTCACAGTGGCTGTCACAGAGCAAGGGCCTGGCAGCAGAAATAAACACCTTCCCTGGCTCCTTTCCTTTTGTAATCAGAGTGCTATTTATGTCCCCGCCCCTGAATCAAGGCCACTCCGTGATGGAGAACACCGAGGGCCCTTTCTGCAGGCCTACAAAGGAGTCACCTGTAATAAAGGAGCAAAGCTATTTTCACACAAAGGAGACAGTGACGCGGAAGGCCCCAGCTGGGTGGAATGGCTCTGCTCACCGATGACATAAATCTGGGTGCCGTTGCCCGTGCCCACAAAGTATGGCGGCGGGTACATGAGCTCCACTTTACAGATGTAGAGCCCGGTGTCCGCGGCCCGTAGCCCTTGGATGGTGAGGTTCACTCTGGTCCCGCTGGAGGTGCCGGCGCAGGCTGAGTCCTCGGGGAAGGCCAGCTCCCTCTCCACTGTGTAGGTCGCAGCGCAGATTTCGGTGGTCCGGCTGGCCACCTGCTGTAGCACCGTCACCCGGACCTCATTGGCGTTGTGCGAAGAGGCGTACTCACACTCGAAGCTGGCGACACCCCGGCTGCTGGCCAGCACCACGGCAGGCTGGGCCACGTGCATCGCTGGCACGGAAAAGCGGGAGGGAATTCGATGACCAAGTGTACCTCTCGGGAACGTTTATCGCTAAGGAATCCTCCAGCTTCACCTCCCAGCCCTAAACACCCCTCCAGCAAACCCAGCCACAACCCTGTGCCGCCTCTCAGCTGCCTTCCAGCTATGCTCCATGCGAGGGAATTGTTCCTTAAACACAGTTGGGATAGGAAGCACACAGATGTGGTAAATAACAGATTCCAGTCTCTGGAAAGCTGCTCCTCTCCTGTTTTTCCCTCATGTAGGAAAGGGGTTTGGATCACATGATAGCAGATAGCACGGTGCCTACCAACTCCGGACCCTAAAGTTGTAGTAAAACTGTGTAGTTTATTAATTAAACCGTGTAGTTTATTAAGAAGGACTGGAGGAAATTCTGGAATTTGAGAACAGAGCCTTGCCTAATATCTCAATGCATAGCTCAAACTGTGGCCTCTGTATCTAACAGGCCCTGCACCTCTCTCACCCAGGAGTAGCAGGGCCATGGCCACCCCTTCCCGGGCACCACTGCCATAGAGCCACAGGCGCTGTTGGGGAAGCCACAGAACCAAGGGCACCAGGTCGTTTCCTCTCTGGGGTGAGGCAACCCTGCTGTTCACTCTGTGGGCTTCCCCTGCCACGCCCACCACATCTTCCTCCCTCTCTCCTGGCTTGAACTCTCTCGTGCTCCTTTGTTCTTTCTGTTCTCTCTGGCTCCTATAAGATGAGGAAGGCAGCTCTCTGTCTAAAGAGCTTTAAATCACCAAAAAATTACCAGCTTTGTCTCAAGTGATGATCTTTTCAATGCTAACAATATCTCTCTCTGGTCAATCTTGCAAGGGACACCCAAAACTTAGATTGAACAAGATCACTTCTCTGCTCAAACTTTTACTAGCAACTGTAAACCAACTGTAAAAACAAATGTGATAACTAGAATTCAGTATCTTAGATCTCTCACTGAGTGAGTTTTTAAGATACACATCCTACCTCTAAATCATCCGACCTCTAAAGCGTCCAGTTCTGGAGACAACAGTCCCTTTCTCTGTGCAGGGGACAGCAGGGGCAGGAGTCATTGCCCTGGTTGTTCCTGCAGCTCTGGCTAGTGAGACAGTAGTATCTTTCTCAGCCTTCATCTCTTCCTACCAGAGACACCTTCTGAGCATCCACCGCATTAAGTGCCCTGCAGTAAGCAAGTTGTGCCCTATTTAAAATTTTTGTGAGCTAATCAGAATGCTCTCTCTTCTGCCTGTGTCTCACAAACTCCTGGGGGGAGAACACTGGTTTCCTGCCCAAATGAGCACTTGACTTTCTTCGTTGTATCAACTCGCGCTCTAACGAGCACCAAGTTGGGCGTTCTCTGCCCTAGATGAGCCCACACTTTATCACCACTAAATTTGGTCACACTCATTTTTTCCGTATCCACCGTGGGAAGATCCTAGTTACTGGCTGAGATAAAGTCGTAAGAAAGAAACTGGATTACTTCTAAAGATATTAATATTTTCACATTCAAAGTTCATAAAATAAGAAAATATATGTAAATATATTTTTCCAGGAAAACTTAAAGCAAATATGTTTTGAGCATGTACCTCGTACAAGTCACATGCTTTCTTAACTCAGAAGAGGGATAAGATTGAGAATTAGCGGAATATTTATCATTGTAAGCCATGAAGCAAATCCAGTACCAACCTCTACAGAGCTTTATTTCATTTGAAAACTGAGAGTCTGCATCTGACACATGTAAGTCTGATGGCTTCCCTTCTTTATTTCTTTTGTTGTCTTTCTTTCTTTCTTCAATTTCAACCTTTTTTTGATACAGAGTCTTGCTATACCATTCAGGCTGGCCTTGAACTTGCTTATGTAGCCTAGGCTGTTCTCAAACTCCCTGCAATCCTCCTGTCTCAGGCTCCTGAGTATGGGATTACAAACATGCTCACCTCATTTTTTAAATAGTTGACAAACTAGTATATAGGATTAAAATGAATTTAAAACCTTGAATGGAATAAAGAAGGCGTTCTTCCTATGACTTGATGAGATTTTAAACAAGTTAACTAGTTTACAGAATTAATGAATGAGCATGTCTGAACGCCTTGAATTGTATAGGAAAAAATTCCACTATTTAAATCAGTTTTTAAAAGAGGGAATCTTGGAATTACCGCAATAAGCTCAAATATATTCAGGACTACACAATGTCTTTTTCCGCTTAAATCATTTAACTGTACAGTATTCTCTTCCAAAATGCTGTAGCTATGTCTGAAATCACTTGTGTCTCGCCTACCACTCAGCTGTGTTACTTTAGCCCCTGCTAAAAGCCTACCACTCTGCTCTGAGCTCTACCTCTGCCCTTGGCTGCTGCCAGGCATCCAGGGAATACAGAGCTGTCCAAGCCAGGAGTGGGAGACTTACCTTGAACTCTGGCTTTGCTAGAAATCACTGCCCTTGAGTGCTGAACGAAATGAAACAAGGTGGGAGAAACACTTCCTCTGCCTTTTGTTCCAGTCTCCACTCACCTTTAGAGAAGACAGGCATGACGAGGAGAGAGAGAAGAGCAGAGCAGGGCCAGGTCTTGGGAAGCAGCCACAGCTGAACTTGGTGTCTCCGGAGCTCAAGGCGAGCCATGGCTTTATGGGAGCCGGCGGGTCTTCAGGAAGCAGAGCGAAACCTTTCAGGATCCTGAACCTTTGAAATGTGTTTGAACCCACACAGATTCAAGGACTTTATATAGACACCTTTGATCCAGATATGTACTACACATGAGCACACACAGAGGGCACCTGAGTAGAAAGCCTTTTTGTTTTGGTTTTACGAGAAAGGAAGCCGTGGGTTTAGCAGTTACGTCGAAAAGACAACCTCAAACACTCAAAGTAAAACTGAACAAAACAAGCCGATCCATGGATGGAAAATGTACTCAACCTGAAACCGAAGCTTTGTGTTCTCTTTGAGGATCTGGATAACTAATTGGAGACTTACAGAATTTCCTGGAGTGCAGGAGTCTCCCTGAATCCCAATTTTAGTCTATCATCTAGACCTCTTTTACCACCCAATTCACTTCCTCGCACCCCCTGCACCACTAAGCTGTCACCCCTCTGAATCCTTGAGAGGAAGAGAGCTGTTGTCCATGGACGTCGTTAAAAAGAGCTCCACTCTCCGTTGGTCGGTGAAGAGCAGCTTTGAGGATCCCATTGTATGCTTTGCTGGCAAGGGATTATTTCATTCAACTTCCCTTAGCATTGTGTTCACAGAAAATTCCAAAATCACAAGAAATAAATCAAAAAACAGTCAGGAAAAATGAAAAAGAATGCAGATGCTCTTGAAAGCCATAACAAAAACAAACATGAGTTGGAGAAGGTCCAGAAAAAGTCAGCCAGCATCACCCAAGAGATTAAAACTTCCATAAGAGGATAGATTTTTTTTTTCTAATAGGAAATTTTGTTTTTGTTTTTTAGAGACAAGGTCTCACTATGCAGTTCAGACTGGCCTTGAGGTCATTTTGTAGCCCAGGTAGTCTCAAACTCGAGACAATCCTCCTGCCTCAGCCTCTCAAGTGCTGGAATTACAGGTTTGTATTACTACACCAGGCTCTAGTAGGAATATTTTAAAGTATAAAATCTAAAAACAAAAAATAAATATAACCAGAGTTCTTAAGGTGTAGATTTCTAAAAGGTTTAGATTTCTAAAAGATTTCTAAAAGGTGTAGATAGGGCAAATGCTCATCTAAAAAGTACTATGATCTAAAATATTAAATGATGTAGGATATTTAGAATTTTAAGTATTCTATGTTCATTTATATTAAATATTTTGAATACTAATATATCAAATATTTATAATACATTGCACAAAACGTTAAACATTAGAAATGCCCACTACCCTCAAATCTGGGCAGTTTTCATACATTTCAGTGAGGAGAGTAGCATTCATCAGGAACCTGGAACCTGCAGGAACGGATGCACTTAGGAAGACTTTAAAACCCCAGGAGACACCTAAGGGGCCTCTGGCACAGTGACAGGACAGGCAGGTGAACATGGAGCTCCGCTTATACCTGCCCCAACCCTCTGTGCTGTCCACACCCCTCAGCGGAGTAGACTCTGCTAGACAGGGTCCTGTTGCTTCCCACGATCATGGCAGCGGGAGATAAATACAGCACTAAAGGTGTTGCACAAACCATAGAAGAGCAGAGGCTGTTGGCTTAGTTCATGAACATCAGAAAGGGCTTCTCAGAGGAAGGAAAACTGGGCTCTTTGCTGAGGACAAGGGTAGGTCCTTAGATCTAAAGATGCTAGCAGGTGCCGAGTTTGGAAGAGTCATATGGAGCATGATATTATTGGCCAGCATGTGGCGCCTGACACCCTGAGAAGTGAGGGGTGATGCAGCACAGGGAGCAAACTGAAAACAGAGTTCACATTTTAGGGAAATTTTCCTTGCACAGAAAGAAAGCTGGGAGGATAGAAGGAACAAGACATCACCAGGAGAAATAGGACCGAGACCATGCCGAAGTCCCCGGTTCTAGGAGTTGAAAATTTTTTCTATATAGGCCAGATGGTAAATAATGCTTTGTAGACCATGTTGCCACTACTTAACCCTATTATTTGAGAGGGCAAGAAACCATCGACTGCATTTAAACAAATGGCCTGGCTGCTTTCTAATAAAACTTTACTCCCAGAAACAGATGGAGACTGAACTTGGCCAACAGACCATAGTATACCAATCTTTGACCTAAATGCTGGTTGTGAGGACAAGGTCCCCAAGAAATTGACCCACAGTCAGTCAGTGGAGGGAAGTGTGTAGGATACCACCAGACTCACAGCATTGTCAAGCTTCCTCTTATTTGAGTCTCATAACAATGATACAAGATAGAGGCCACAATAGTTCCCATTTCATAAAAGAAGCCAATCAAGACATGGAAAGTTAAGGTGACATACACAATCCCCTGAGTAAGTGATTAAGCCAAGATTCCGAGCCTGCAATGCTGTTAATCATGGCTTCAGATACTTTGAAGTCAAGGAGAACGGGATTTGAATCCTAATGTGAATGCTAGCTAGTTGTTACCTTGTGGCTGACAGACTGACACCCTTCACATAAAGACATCTGCTTCTCAAGGCCATGGCAAGGGTTCGACACGATAACACTGGTTGGATTTATAAAAGGCCTCTTAGGAGGCTCGCCCCTCATTATACGTGTCCTTTCGAGTTTTGCACGCATTTATTTATTTGTTTGTTTGTTTTTGTGAAGTTCCTGAGAAGACAGATCTGAAATTTACTGGACTAGAGAACACAGGATGAGCAGGTCATGAAATGAAAATACCAACCTCTATTGAGCATGCCGAGTTTGTGGTTTCTATGGAGAGACCCCTGCCCGCAAAGCAGTTGTCACAAGGAATTTGCAGCTCAGAAAGAGATATCCAAAGGTCATGGCTTAGGCATCCATTCAGATACTGATAAAAACTTTCACAGGCCAGGGCATGAAATAAACATTCTGTAAACATTTGCTAAATGGTTAAGTGAATAAAAACAGTTTAATGAGAAAAAGAGACGAGTCGTAACATGAATGTTTAAAGAAATCTTACCAAGTTCCCTACGTATGCTTTTATGAAATTATTTCTATCACAGAAGAAAATTCAGTGGTTGTAAAAACTACTTGATGAAAGAATATTGGTTAGAAAAACACATTTATTCACATGTGTTACTAACAGATTACAAGGGAGACGAGGTCATTGGTAAATCTAGTAGATGGGGCCTCCGCCAAGTGACCCGAGTAGAGGTCACCTATGAGGAACATTCTAGACTCATGGGCCTCCAGACCCAGTGCACAGAGAAGGACCCCGTGTCTCTCCAGCATTATTGCCAGCATTGCTTTGATTTAATAATGAAGAAATAACCAAAAAACTCATGTTCAGCAAAGCTCCTGAGGTGGAACTACATTCCCTCATAAAAGGATGTCAAGAAAGACAATAAAAGGAAAAGCTAGGAAAGTTATTCTAGATTAAGGAGGAATAAGGAGATATGACAATTCAGTGAGCGATCCTCCACTGTACACGTTACTGAGACACTTGGGGAAACGCTGACGGTGAGGTACACTCACCAGTGGCTCTTAGTGCTAGGTTTCCTAAGTCTGACTATTTTATTCTAAAGAAAAACCTCCTTGTTTTTAGCTGATTCGTAAGTATTTGGGGGTCTAAGCATTAGGACATGTAATTCATAAATGGTTCAACAAAAACATATATGTGTGTTGGTAGCAAGAAAGAAAAAGAATAAAACAGTGACAAAGTGTTAACAATTGGTGAATGTTGATGAATATATATAATATTATATAGAGTTGTACTATTATTAAAAATTCTGTGTAAGTTTGAAGATTTCAAAGTAAAACGTCAGAAGTAAAAATTACAAAGTCAGCCATTAACGTGGGAAGCACTATACCAGTCAGGAGAGCAAAGTTTGGGGAGGATCAGCACCTTGTTCAAGGTTGTTCTCCACCCTCTCCCCACAGGCCACACTGCAGCTGGGAGGCTAGACTCCGTGGAGAGCACTCTGTGGGTGCCAGGGTGCCCGGATGCCTGGTTAGGTGGCTTCTCAGGGGTTTGGCACCTAAAAGGTCCCAGCAGAACATCAGAAATCCCGAGGATGGAATCAGGGTAGTATTTTTCGTTGCTCTCTTCCAGAGGCAAGGCCTTGTCTCTGTGTGATAGTAACATACTTCTCAAGTGTAGCTCTCATTGGGCAAATGTGCCTGCTCACCCAGTCCCTGGTCCCATGACTCCAGTTCTCTCTGAGATCTGGTAAGGCTTTTTGCTACCCTGGTCCTTCTAATGTGAGGGAGCTGATCAGCTTCCATTACTGCTAGTTCCCAGATGGCCTTGAAGCCTTGAAGCCTTGAAGCCACCATTCTCTTTCATTCCTCTCTTTTTTTTTTTTTGTTTTTGTTTTTGTTTTTGAGATGCAGTCTTACAAGATAGATTAGACAGGACTTAAACTCACTACGTATCCTTCGCTTGACCTGAAACTCAGAACACATTTCCTGCCTCTGTCTCTGAGCATTGGAATTCTAAGCATGCACTACCATGCCCTTCATTGACTTTCTTATTCAACTATTTTTTCCCCACTGGAAACTTTATTAATCAATCTTACAGCTAGCAAGAGGCAAAAATGGTTTAAACCTTCATTTGCTTATCCCCATCTAATACCTTTTTTCTCTATTATCTTATGTACCACACAACTGGGTTTATTACCACTGTGCACATATAATTCTGTCTCCTCTACTCCAAATTCTGTTTTTGCAACACTTGCACTCGTGCCCCAGGGCCAGCACCTAAATCAGGGTCTCCTTTGTACATAAAAACTGAGCACTGCCACACTCGATGAACCCACGGAGTGGTCAAAAGCACGGATGGTGACAGATGTGTGTTTAAATCCTAGCTCTGCTGCTCCCAGAACTGTGACCAGTTAACACTGTGAGCCTCTCTGATCTTCCTCTCACTTATCTACAAAACATGTCTAATTACCATAACTATCTTATAACAATATCATAATGATTCAATGAACCCATGCCAATAACTTGGTTTGCCTAAAATACGGTAGCATTAGCTGATACCTTAAATGTCAAGTTACAGATTCCAAAGGAGTAACAGGATAAACCCCTTTTCCATTATCATCGCTACTGAACAGATGATCTATTAAGACTTAAATCAAGTCCTGCCCTAAAATATTCACATATTTACTGAATTTCTGCTCAGCCAATGTCTTCATCCATATCCAGAACAAAATGGCTTATTAT